ATGAAACCCAAAGGTACGGAACCTGTATGGAATAATAACCATGTTGGTCAGAGGGTTGTAGTGAGAAGGGGAAAGGGAATAAAATTGTCCTTCAGCTCGGATGGGGACCTTTCCCCCTGCAGTCTGTTTTGCGGCTCTCCCCTTTCCAGCTGTTCTCTCAGTCCAGCTGCCTGATTTCTTTCTGTCTCCCTCCCTCTCTTCCCTCCCTTTCCCCGTTTTCACTTTCGAGCTCTTCTGAGTCCAGCTTGGTTGGCTCAGTCTGTGGTCCTGCCCCAGTCTTTTCTTCCCTGCCTGTCCATCCCTCCCTCCGCCTCTTTCTCTCCACAGAGTCTCCAGACCCTCTTCTTAGAGCTCATTACATTTATTTCCGCAACGGGCCTTATTACTAGTAAGTAAATAAATAGGATTCACAATCACTGAACAGGCAGATCACTGGATCCAAACCTCATTTGCCATGGTTCTCTCTTCCTTATAGCCTGAACTGCTACTCAAATTTACTCACTAAAATCCCTTATTAGTCCCCCCCCCCCCGGTCACTGACCCCTAAGGAACTGTGTTACTTTTGAAGTCAGCTCTGTAAGATTATCCAGCTGTGGCTCCAACCCAAGTTTCAGGAAATAGCAGGCTGATCTGGATGACTCACATCAAGCCGCAGGGGCCAAAGCCCAGGACAACAGCAAAGAACCACCCTCCTCTACCTAGAGAGGACAAACGGCAAACAGACTCCATCCAAGGAGTACATTACTAGAGTATCCACATTTCATGCTCTATACCAAAGAATGTAACTATCCAGAATATACCTTAAAAGTCACTTTTAAAGTTGAAAATGTAAAAGCCCCATTGGTGATACCAGCTCTTTTAGAAAGGTCAGAGGACAACATTCCCTGAAGCAATTTCAGGGTGGAGCTCCATGTTATGTAGTTCTGTGATTTTTTTCCCACCCTGTCAGATTAAGTGAATGCAGCTGTCAAGGCTTTGATTTAAAGGAAAAACTGGCACAGGATATGAGGTTTAATTTATAAGGAACTCTGAAATCTTCTTTGCTAAAGGGGATCTAGTAGCTGGAGGGGATTTTTGGCAAGGGGAGATAAACAGCCCCAATTAAATCACAGGAACATCTGTGGTCTGTGTTAAAAATACTAGAAAAATGAATCACAAAACTACCTGGGTGATAGAGGACTACAGCAGGTTTAAGAAATTTCATCTCCACTTCTACCACACATTCATGGTATTGCCCAGGTTGTATAACCTGGGGGCTGCCCACAAGTCAAAAAGGCATAGTGAACTGTTTTACTGCTGACCTAAAGTTGTGAAGCACTATTAATAAGGTAGTACCTATGAGGATACTGAAGTCGCTCTTAATGTTCAAAGACTTTATAAGGTCATATTCTAAATCGTCCAAGTATCAAAGGTTCCTATCAGAGCCTGCCAGCAGTTAATGACTATATTATACAAGACAATTAAAACAGAACAAATGCTATGGGCAAGAGAATGTAAAAAGGTTTGCCTCCAACCACTGTAGAGAAGTACTCTTGCAACTGCTGAATAAATTACAAATTGCACCCATTATCAGTATCTTGCTCCCCCAACTACTTTAGGTAAAGTATCCCAGAAAAAATTAAAGTCCTCATGCTGCAACATAGACTATTTGATATTTCACACAAGAACGAAGTTCAAAAGTAGCCAAAAAGTTAAATCACTTGACATGAAGATTTGAGTCTAGCAGATAGAATGCAATATATAGATTCATGAAATGAAACAAACACTTCTACCATCTTGAATTTGTTTTAAATATCTTGTTCAAAAGTTTTATAAACACACAAATGGAAATATCCCTTCTAGTGGTGCATAGTGTGCTCCTTTTTTTTTGCCATCAAGTCACAACTGACTTATGGGGACCCTGTGGGGTTTTCAAGGCAAGAGATGTTCAAAGGTACCTCTGTGTCATGACTCTGGTATTCCTTGGAGGTCTCCCATCCAAATACTAGCCAGGACTGATGCTGCTCAGCTTCCGAGACCTGACAAGATCCGGCTATACTATGCTAACAGCCTTGTTAATAAAACATGTCACACATTTCCCAAAAAAAACCCTGGCAATTGTCTCACAGGCGAACTTGACTTTTCTTCTTTTAGCTTCTGTGCTTATTTCTCCCTCACTTTCAAAAAAGAACTGTTTCCAAGGTGTTTTTTTTTAAAAAAAAACTAAACAGCACAATCCAGTTTAAAACTGCTTAAAATACAGAATTCCAGCTACCAAAACATGTCATAACATGAACATAAACTCAAAATCCTTCAAGGTAGATTGGTTTCCAAAGGTGTGCTTTATTCTCCAAACTACTTGAGAACACCATTATATAAGGTTCCTGGTGCATTAATGCAGTTCCTGAGTACACAGTTTTCCAAAAGGATGCCAGTGAATGGATAGGGGAGGGTATATGAGTGAGGTAGTAATTGAGCAACAGTAGGGCAAGCTGAATGAAAACTGTAGCTCTCCAAGGCTCCTCCTGCAGGACTAGCTTGGCTAAGCCATTCTGAAATGGGAAGCTGCAAGCAACAGAGAACCCTAGGGATGAGGACAGGATGTAGCTCATATGCTTGGATAGGTGGAGTGTTCCTAAACAGAAATTCACAACACTGAAAACAAAGTTTGGGAGCTACCTTAGTGCATTAACTCTTGATGTACCCTAGAAGTGTGTCCTAAGTAGAGAGACCACACACTTTTTGGTGCTAAACACCATGCAGTGTTAAGCCCATAGCCTGCCTGCAACTTCTCTGACTCAACTAGCTGGAAACAGCTTCCTTGAACTAGCTTAACATTTAAAGTATTTAACCACTCGGCCAACTCAGATGTGTTCTACTATGTTCCCAAAGCAGAGACATCATAAGATAGAATGTGTCAATAACTGCACAGCCAACTGCCAAGCCACCTGGAGTTCAGCAGCTATTACTAGGACTGAATAGTATTCCCTCTTTTGCAGCTGCACTCAGCGGTTTCATGTATTATGAAGTTGTAACCACAGCAAAAGTGTAGATCTTTTGTTTGTACTTTCTGGATAACAGGTATAAAGAAGAACTTCAGTTCTCTGCAGTGGAATTCATTACAATATTTGCACATTACAAAGGAAGCAAAAGAATAGGCCACTTCCCAGAAATAATTTAAGGAGAGATTTGCATGCCACCATGTCTCCTCACACTACTGCACTTCGCCTCCTACAGACATTGACACGCTATCTTGTCTGCAAGGTTTCAGATAAAGAATTGGGCTGTGTGGCCTTTTGATTACCAATACACTGCAATTGTAGGAATTCAAGTTTAAGAAAAATTGGATACTACAGAAACTGCACTAGTTAACCTGGCTTAAGCCTTACTTTCAACACCATTAAAAGCTTTCCTGTTTAAGTATTTTACACAGCAGCTGCAGAAAATGGCTATTAAAAATAAAGCAGAGTTATTTCTAAAATATTCTGTTAAGTACATAAAATTGTTAATTGAAAAATTAAAAAAACATAGCCTTTCTGCCCTGAAACAGAGCTGGGGGGAGTTATTTCTCTGTTTATGCTGTTCCTATGGAAATGGCAGGGGGGCAGGACTCTGCTTTATTTTATTTTTTCAATACCCATTCCCCGCTGCTGCTATGTGGCTGTAGGAATCCCAACCCCAACTCTCAAAAAAAGCAAATGTCTACTTTGGCTCTGAATGAGTAAAATAAAGTTGAGCAAGCTCAAACTATCTTCTTTCTAGCAGAGACAGGGTTCTAAGCTTTGCCCTACCCCTACAGGAGTTAACAGCAATATTCAGTGATAGGAATATTTAGTATTAGGAATACTGAGCAAAGTAGGTCTTCTCTTCCTTTTCCATATCTGTACTGCCCCATCTTTCTGCAATGATGTTCATGAAGAGAAGAATCAAGTTCATAAAACTGGGACTTAAAATAGGTTCATGACATGTTTTCAAATAGGTCTCCAAAGGAGTCACAGAGAGGGCTGATGAAGAAAATTATTTCAATTATTTCTCTGCCTCTAAGGCTAGACTCTGAAGATAATGTGAAAAGTTTTTTTTTATTAATCAAAAGTTAAACAGCAACAGGCACATTAAAATGAGTATGGCAAAGCCTCTAACCAATGGCTTTACACTGAAGCTCTCTCCCAAAAATGGCTGTTGCGAACTGTAAACAGAATGGAATAAACAGTCTTTACAGTAAGAACAAGGGAAATACAAATGAAAAAAAGAAAGCACCAGTTTCTCAAAATAGATTACAGTTGTGCTTACAGTACTTAAAACAATGTAAAAAACAAATTACAAAAAAAGGAATGCTTGAAGTTTAAAAATTAGTCCTTAAAATTTGTCCTTAAAAACGTTTCTCCTTTTCACATCAAAAACCCATAATGGGTAACATTTCAGTAGAGGGAGGAATAAGTAAACAATGCACTTTTTCAATCTACAACAAAATTTGGTCACTTAGCTTTGTGCATAGTTTAAGGCAGCTGTAGCAACCTGTTAATTCCCCCCCATGTGGCTGCTCATGAAAATGTCACATTCTAAAAACAATAAATAAAAAAACTTGCCTTTCAAATCCTTCTTCCCCTCCCCCCCAAGAATTCACACTCACACACGCATTCACACACACTGCAGCGTAAGGGGCATTTGTACCCTTGTTCTGAAGGACACACTTCCCATCCCACTATATTTCAGATTGGCAAATACCCTGAGCTGTTTCTGGTGTTCATAGTCATTCCACCTTTTTTCTTGCATGTGCAGTTCAAGTGTACAATAGTGAAAACAACATGCTATGTTTTCACTGCAGAATCTTAACACAATTAGAACTCTTCCTCTCCTCAAACCCATCCCTCCTCCCCTCCCAAAATTCAGAAGTATTTTCTGCCTGTTAATGTTGTGATCCCATTCTACACTGGAGTTAAACTTAGCTGAGCTTTGTGTTAACCACAGCCAAATTATGACACATGATAGGCTTTTCTTAGTGAGAGGAAAATGAGCTGCAGTTTCAGATTTGATCTTTTGTTTAAGTTAGTGGTTCCTTCACAGCCATGCACAAAAGTTAGTTTAAAACCTCTAGTTTCCAGGTACATTTGTAAACATCAGTTCTTGCCAGAGGCAGCCAAAAATGGCCCCACTTCACATTGCCACATTTTGGACAAGGACTGAATGGAGTTGCTAAAATCCAAGAGAATGGAGTCATCTGTGTCCCATGGTAACTCTGAAGGCCTTATTTTAAACTTCTTTTTTAAAAAAAAAAGCAAAACAATGTGGCACGTAGCAACAGATCTTGTCTTTTCCCCATCAAAGTTCAATCATGCCTCTGGTTTGCATATTCAAGGTTCCATGCAAAAGCCAACCAAGGCATATGGATATTGCTCTGTGTTCAGGTCTTGTAACCAAAAACTGGGTTCAAATGATCAAAGGAAAAACTTGGAAATAAATAATGCTGGCATTGTTTATACTGAAACCTTGGCAGTCAGACAAAAAATGTTAATCCTCAAACCCTCTTCTGCAGATATTGGGCAAGAGGCAGTTTGTCAAACAGATCCTGGTGTCAGGATAGTCGATTTTCCTGAGGTATTACATCAGAGTCCATTTCTTCAAATGCAGGATCAGTATCATCACCACTGCTGGATTGTTGTCTTTGCATGCCCTTCCAGCTAGCTTTATTCAGTCCCAAATGCCCAAGCATTGTTTGAGAAAGCCTGGTGTTTGAAAATCTTGCCCATTCTGCAAACAACGGCTCTACCAAATATGTCATAAAACCTAGAGAGAGAGAAAATGCACTGGAATTAAAAACAAGAAGAGATTGTGCATTTTGAACTTTCATTATGATGCTTGGTTTAACTTGGATTTATAAGGAGAATAAAAACATCACCTTAAGTAGAAGCTCAATTTGAAGTAATTCATGTGACAATTTGAATTGTACTAAAATATTTTAACAGCCACATTCTATTATAAAATTATTTCAAAAACCAAACTTGTCAAATCACCAAAAAAATCAACACATGAAGGAATAAAAGCAGCACAACAGCAGTATTTAAACACAAGCAGGAACTTAGTCATTTAAGAGTTTAGGCAAACAAAATATTTGAAGAATCCCTGACGTAGATAAAACTGCAAAGTGCTGTGGATATATTCATTTCATACAGTCATCTGCAATTAAAAACTAACATTTTTCTTTACAATGCTAGTTGAAAACTGGGTAAAAATAGCAACATACACAAATTTTCCCCAGCAGTGGCAACTAGGGATGGGCACAAACCTAAAAAGGGTGGTTCGGGGTGGTCCATGAACCAAACCCCAAAAGGGGGAATTGAACTTGCTGGACCAGTTTGAGCGTGGCCTGCTTGGGCGTGATCAGTTCAAGGTTTGGTTCATGGGCCACCCCAAACCATGAACTGAATGCACCGAAATGGCCCTGCCTAAATCGGTCTGGCAAGTTCAGTTCCCCCTTTCTCCCGGATATGACTTGCTACCCTGGAAGAGATTTCTCTTCCATCTTTGCCAGGAAAAAGGGGGGATCACCTAGGAAAAACTTCCTTTTCCCCCTTTCTCCCGGCCCCAGCTTGCTGTGGCTGGGAGAAAGGGCATTGGGGAGCACAATCAATGGGTTAAATGGCTCACAACTATTTAAACCTAACAGCTCAGCAGCAGACTGGAGCTAAGGAACCAAATATCAGTTCCTTAGCTCCAAACCGGCACAAGTGTGTGCCAAATTTTGGGTTGTGAGCTGGTTGATGCCCATCCCTAGTGGCAACAGCACTTCTTCTTCTTCTCAAATAGCCTCTCTCCTTCCCTTCCACCATGCTAATGTATTCTTTTAAATCACAGTTTCAGCCAGCAGCACTGTATACCATGTAAAGTGTTGCCTGAAAAGATCATGACTTCACATTGCACGTAATGTATAGTGACATATGACCACATAGTTAATGTAGAGATGTAGTAACATGTGATCATGAAGAAAGGACCTGTAAGAAATTTCACTTAATTTGGACTTCCTTCCTGAAATTTTATAGACACTGATGTCTTGATTCTTGGTTTGAAATGAACATACCAGTGATACAAATATCACAGCCAAACAATGGTTTGGCAATTGAGACTGCATTGCAAATTCATGCACTTTTGTTCTCCCAATCCCATTACACATACTACTTCCTCATTTGCAGTAGCAGGTGGCCTTAAGATCTGAACTGGGTAGCTATGGTTACCACTAGCCAGAGTGTGCCTCAACCTGGTATAAAAACCCACACTTTGAAGTGGGTCTCCAGTTTTACTCTGAAGCAGGCTATAGGTAGCAGCACAAATTGTTTATCTGATTAATATGCCAAAACAAAGTAGATTTTCTCCAAACCACAAAGTGCAGGAGGGGACTGGCATACCCTAGAGAAAGGAGACCAGCATGGTTCTGATGGTCAAGCTATGACCTCTGACCCAGACTGATATTATAGAATTTTTGGCTTGCAGTAAACAAATTTTTATCTACTGAATGCTATGAAGATGAACATGCCCTGTCAAATTAAGACTAAACTGACAATGAAAATCCTAATTGCCTCTGATTATTCCAGGCAAAAGAATATGTGCCAGATGAGAAAATCAGCTCCAGTTTTGCTACTACTGTACCATTTCTATTTTATAAATAAAGGAAGATGATTTGGGAGCCCTTAAGGAATCAGGGGGAGGGCAGAGGGGGTAAAAAAAGTTAGGAAATTATAATTGACTACTGAGATTCAGGGCAAGGAGAACAGTAGTCCTGAACCTTAGCTGTATATTATACAACAGGTGTGTTTTTATTTCTTCCTCATCTCCATGCTGTAGAGTAACTTTGAACAGTAAAAACTGGCATGTATCCCCTAACCTGGAAAGTGTACATCATTCTTGATCCTAATTCCTACCTCCATGCTTGATTATAAAAGCTGCTAGAGACTTCAGAAGCCAAATTTCTGCTCGCTTCTGTTTTCACTTAATGTTTTTCACACTACAGCATTCAGTTCCTGTCAACATGATGTGGCTCATGGAAAATACTCTTGTGTACATGACACTATTTGCATAAGTAGGGGGAAACTAATTTATAAATATTTTTATGCATACCTAGGATGTCCTACAACAAATGTAAAAAAAAATAGCCCTGCTTATATATATCAAATGTATGTAAAATGGAACATCACAATTTATGAACATTGTAACAAATTGTTCATATAGCTCTGCAGTTACCAATCTGGATGTTAGCAATGGTTTCAGTCTGTCGATCACATAATGGACTCACACCCAAATGGTACTTTTTTTCAACATCTCCTACAAAGAAATACTGATTAATAAGACAATTTCTAAAATTAAACTATTACTATTTAATATATAATTAGAAAATTGAAACCTGTATGAGACATGCCAAAAAAATTCCAACATCCGTTAGTTAGCTTCTCTGTAGTGGTTTACAAATATAAGCAATATAAAAAGCCCTCAATCACTAGGCAAGGAACAAATCTGGGCTACATATATGAATATAAGAATCAATACCCTGCTACTATTGTAGACAGGTACTGGAAAGGCATCTAGAAGGGAAGAACTGTTTCTTCAATTTCTGACTACCTTAAAGAGATAGTTTTACCTCGGCTACTGAATATTTACAGAGAGCAAATTCAACATTCACCTTGCAAGTCTGTCATTTTTTAAACACAGATGCTACACACGTTAACACAGATCTCATTTCACTATACATACAAAATTGTCAATATAACCCTAATGGGAATCTGCAAAATTACAGAACTCAAAATATAGCTGCAAATGTGTAAAAGTACAGAAACCTGACTAGGCATGCAATATTGTATATGATTCCCCTTTTTTCAACTGTATGGGAGCATCCACAAACAGGGCATCGAAGCTATTTTCACGTGGCATGATCTTACACATACTTATTCAAAGCCAGTCATACTGAGTTGAATCAGGCTTTACTTCCTAGCAAATGTGCTTAAGATTACAGTTTTAATGTACGCAGTTAAAATAAACCTTTTTATTACAATAAAATAGCTCTTTATCCAGGAAAGCTTAATTAAGGCAAGCAGAAATCTCAAGTGTTATGCGAAGTGTAAAGGTGCCAACTATTAAAATATCTGAAGAAGCCACTGTAATTGTACATATTAGCATCTCTTACAAATAGTTCAAATACATTTTTCAGCCCAGGTAAGTGTCACACTTCTAATTCTTTACCAATTTTTATTTCACATTCCACTGCAAAAATCATTTGTTTTTCATTACTTACCTTGATTAAAGAATTCTTCTGTTACTTTTTCACTCCACTGCTTGCTCAGTTCCCATGTCCGGCAGGGGTTGCAAATATCAGCACATTTCAAAGCCATCTAGCAAATGAAATGGTATCACAATATATGTGAAGTGCAATCAAACTATGCAAGTTATAATGCAACACACTTAATTTTGCTATTTACAATGTGGTACAGAAAGCACTACTTTTCAAATCCTAAAACTATTTAACAACAGTAGTAGTGAGTAACAAAGCGGCTTGCAATTCCATGCTTAATGGCACTTTATGAAATTTGTCTCCAGCTGGACGGAACTATAGCCAACATGTACGGGGAGAAAATATGTTGGTACAGGTACAAGTCAGCTTCTCTCAAACATCAGTGCAACACTGGATTTGTATGAAAACAGGAACATTTATTTAAAGCTAATCCAGTTGCCTGCAGTGTAATTTTAACCCAAGCTTGAAAAGGAGTTCATGTTGGCTTCCTTTTGGCTATAATTTGAAACATCAAACCATTCAGTTTATTTTTCATTTATCAGCACTTACCTGAAAATTACATTTTTTTAAAAGAGAAAAATGTAACGCAAAAAACGATGTCTGGCCTATTATAGATGTTGTGTGTTCCATTCAGAGCCCTCTCGACTACATAGAGACCAGTCATTAAAATACTCTCTCCCAATCTGTAGAAACACTTGTGATCTTTGCAAGGAAAGCTGAGCGAGCCTTCGACAGAAGAGTGACCTGAGCAGAGTGTCCTGCCTTGACTAGGGGTGCTATTGTACTTTGTTTAATGCTTGTTTAGTGTCTGTCAACAAAGTTGTCAAAATCCAACCTTCTCCAGTAACATGTGGCACATTAAATCATTAGCTGGGTCTCTGATGGCGCACTCAAACAGCCACTTAATCACTTCCCCATTTAATCCAAACCAAATCACTATGGATCAAATAGGTGCCCATATGGTAATACCTTAGAGATGTTCCCAAGTGTTTGAGTTGCACAAGCCTATTCTAAAAGCAAACTATTTGCTAATAGTCACACAAGCCAATTTCCATCACAGTAAAATCCAACAGAAAGAATTATGAATCAATCATTTCATGTAATAAAGATTGATGACAATTATATTCTGTTCTGTTGCAAAAACAATGCTTTCTTTTTTTTGGAAAAGGAAACATTCTTGTTGGTGCCTTTTCTTTGCAGTTTCAGCAAAGCAAAAGAACTGAGGCGGCATTAAGACAAATACCCTCTTGCCTCTCAAGACGGTCCCGCCAGAAAAAGGTCGAGAAACACTGGTGAATCAGAATAAGGAAAACGTTTGACACCTGTGTTGCACTTGTTTCTGCGGACAAACAGAAAACCTTAGTTTTTTATATTGGCAAACTATGCTGCTTGTATAAAAACTATACTACTACAGAACACAAACAGGCTACCTTAAGATGGATGTGCAGTAGCTAAACACCATCATACAACAGACAACAAAGAAATGAAGTTCTTTAATAGCAATTACTTTTTTGTCTTTCTAATCTAGTAAACTACCTGAAGAATAAGATGTCGATGGTTCTCATCTTCTAAGCATAAGTCTCCCTTGTCCAAATGACTACGAAATAAGGACAGATATTCATTTTGCCGACTGATGTCTGTGGCAAGAATCAGTGCTCCTATCTGGCTTTCCATCAGCTGCCTGAAATTGGAGATACACGGTAGCAGCATGAAAATCACCATATACATACAAATTCATATGTAAAATTCATAGAGCACTATGCATAAAGTTCAGAGCAACCCTGGTTCTAAGCTTGTGATTAAAATAAATAAAACCATATTTCCAATATTATCTTTATTGGAACGCAACATTTCAACCATTTAAAGCCTTTAAACCCTTAAACATATTGTAAATGCAAGTGAATGTACGCACTTTACATGTGCATTTCAATAGATAACAGGTATAACTATGCTATACTCTGTATGAAAAAATAGAGAAAAACTGACAAAACTGACAGGAAATATATTCTGATACGTCAAGATCTCTATTTCCAACTTATATCAATCTAAAATACTTGTTCTGCAATGTATTCTGCACAGTAAAAGCATGATATCTACATGTGTAAAGCCAACCTGACATATACCTATTTTCTAAAGACATGTGTGCAAATAATCCAGACTCTCTTAGCAGCCCCACAGCTGATCTCCAGTGGTGATTTTCCAGTACTGAGGTATTCTGAAAGAAAGACATGTTATCAGTATTGAGGGTGGTTTTTTTTTTAATTTCACACACTATGTTCTTGAATGAACAATCCAGTATACTAATTATGGGTTGTGTCGGTGACGTCATTGAGGAGAACTGAAGTCTTGTCGTATGGCTTTTTGTCTGAGGGTCATCTCCTCCCCAAGAACTGTCTTTACGATGGTCTGGGGGAGGGAAGCCAGGAAAAAGATCTACTTCCACTAACAGAAAAACAATAGACTACAACCCTCCTTCTTTAAAAGAGCAAAGCTACTCCTATGGTTACATGACAAAAAAAGGAGTATTTGTTTTTCACTTACCTTGTATAAAGTTGCTAAATAATGGTTTGTCTTAATAAGAAAAGGCTGATTAACACCTGGGTGATCCAAATCATGAGTGGCAGCTGCAATTAAACTGAGCAGAACATCCCATGGAGTTAGAGATTTGAAAAGCTGCAATATAAAGTATGCCCACATGAGTATTCACTATTAATACTTACAAAATATTAGGTTAGGATTTTAAAAAGACAAAATTTAGCCTTCAAACTGATCAGGTTTTTTTCATTTATTTATCACCTGTAGGATTTGGGATTTCCCTATACTAACACAACAGGGAAGGTAAGATAATTATTAATGAAATTTGCAATTTATTTACTTTTTAAATAAAGACAGCAGGCACCTATGGCATGGAGAAATGCTGTCCAATAAAAAACGCCTCAGTCCTCAGGTACTTCAAGGTAGTTTCTACACCCCACCCTGTGCAAATACACAGAGGAAACACCAAGTGCTAGAACAATGGTTAAAACAACACTCAGAATGAAGTAGAAGTTTCATTACTAACAAAACTTCAACAACATACAGCCTTCAACAACATATAGAACTATTACCATTAACCAGTAATGCAGTAAAAAAGAGAAAACTTCTACCTTAGGTTCCTTTAAATAACAGTGCATGGCCTGAGTCACATCAGCAGCATGAACCGCATTATGATATGGATTTTGACTGTGGTAATCTTCTTGAACCATTACTAAAAAAAATATGGAAAAGTAGTATAAATGATAGATTAACTGAAAATTTTACCATGGTAATACACAGTTGTTATCGGTTTTTTTCTGGAAACAAATACAGACCTAGTCATGATTAAGCTGAAGTAGGCACTGGAACACCAAGCATCAAGTACTGGCACACAATTAGCCTCTCTACTCCAGTGTAAAGCAAGCTATATGCATGAATGCCTGGTTCATTCTGTTTCCGTATAGCAAAAATTGGAAGACCACCATGACTCAGGCTTTCACACAGTCAGAATCTAACATGGAGGATCCCAGTCATACTGAAAGCTCCCTGCATGATGGAGGGGGAGAGTGCAATTCCACCACCATGCTATTACAGCATTACCCCAGATGAATGTATGAACTGGGTCATGCTGGGGACCCCCTTTAACTGGGCAGCATATTAAACACGACAATCTTCAGTTAAAAGGATTATGTCCATATTATTCAACATCGAACCATCATAGCACTAAATTAAATTATTCACCAAGGTATTATTAACTATGCACTGATCTCCAGCGACAAGTCCTTTGAAAAAGTACTAAGCTGGTCCCACCAAAATATTTGTATTTTGTATTAAAATTTGTATTATTTGTATTAAAAAGTTTTTATTAAAAGCAACGTCCAAAGGATGAAATCAAGAGACAAGACTGCGTAAAGGCTTAAAAACAGCAGAATTAGCACAAGGACCTTTCCAGACAGTGGCACAACACAGTTGCTGCCAGGAATCCAGACTTTTCCTAAGGAAATGCTTCAAATGTCAGATAATTTCATTTTCAAGGAATCCATACCACAGTAACTTGGCTGCCGAAAAATGTAATTCCCCCCACAATAGGTTCATATATTGCAACTCAGAGCACAATGTAGAACGTGGTTGTATGGAAGGAGTCATGCCATCTATTGTCCAATGCCACTTGACAACTTCTTAGAATGAGCAACATATTTTACCTGCCATTTTGTGAATTCTCTTTCTTTGTGGAGGGACAGAATATTGTAATACTGCCACAGGTCAGCTCTAAGAATATTTTTGTCTGGAAAGGACCTTATTGAAATTTTACACTTACAGGACTCATCAGGACTTTTCAAACTGGTTTTAAATTATGAACATGTTAAAGTATTTTACCTAAAAATCTGCGGAGTTTCATTGTATCTAATTGGAAGTGCTCTACAAGTCCATGAAGATTAAACAGGTGGAAGGTTAAGGTGACTAAACTGTTTCCTAAGGAAAAATAATAAAAACATCTTTATTGGGAAACATCTAAAAAGTATAAATAATTAATAAGTAGTTTTAATACATGAATGACAGAAAATCAAGACAGTATAGTGCACACTTGCAGATGATCCAGATGCAACAAAAAAGAAGCTGACTTACTAGTCATAGTAAGTACCCAGTTTTGTTACTAGTGAATGCACCCAACACAGGCCCCGTTCATACGAGCCCATTTTGGACAGGAGTGGGACAGAACAGGGGCGGAGCAAACGGACGCGATCCCACCGCAACATCTGGGGAGCGTGCCGTCTCCGTCCCTGATCCGGCCCAAATGGCGCTACCCCGCTGCAAAAACGAACCACCTATCTAGGTGGTTGCAGCCGTCTGGAGCGCCCCAAGCCGGCCGTGGGATCGGCGGCGCGTCCTTGCGCCGCCGCATCCCAGCCCCCGGCCGTACTGCGCATGCTCGGGCATGCGCAGTTCGGCAGCCTCCCCCTCCCATCGGGCTCGTCCTCCCCGGCGTCTGCTCTTGCCGGGGAGAAGAGGCGCTGCGGCCAGGGGATCCGTGGGATCCCGCCGCAGCGTCTCAACGTTGGAGCGGCTCTATTAGCCGCACTTTTGCTTCGTGGTTTCCCTGCCGTATGGCAGGGGCCACAGTCCACCAAACTATTTAAGAATGTGGTTGGAAGGAACACGACACAGCAATTCTACTAAAGGAGTAGATAAGTTCAGTGTCTCAAAGAAACTTCTTAGGAACCCTGTGTGCACATGAGACCCTTGAGATGCTCACAATGGAAGACAGATAAGATAGAAATGCAATAAAATATATTTTTAAATTCCTTTCCTTTTCAGAGCCCCTTGATCAATGACTAGAAGACTACTAAATTAGTTTCTAGAAGAAAATACGACAGATAGCAACAAATAAGATTATACTCAGATCACTGTCTAGCATTAGATAGGGAATAACGTTCCTTTGAAAATTATTGAACAATGAACATGATAAAAAGGGTAAAATCCAGCAATTCCTAAAAAAAGAATTTTAAAAAAGAGCATTCTGGTATTTTATGAGGTAAAGTATGAATTTTAGCCTGGCCACAAGGACAAAAACTATCTGAATATGGAATATTACAAAATCTCTCACAATATTTTTAAATTAAGTGAACATTACTACATTACTACATCTACATACTTCCTCCAGTTGCCTTCTTACACAGAATATAACTTTTAAATTTTTTTAATGTAATAGCTTCATTTTAGTGTTTTAACATTCATTAGCAGTGAACTGAGATACTAGAAAAATCAAACCCAGTACTAAAAAGTGAGCACACATATTTTGCAACCCTTCACATTTGATTTACTCAGTTCTCATAAAATATTTAAAAGATTTATCCCATATTGGTGGCATTTCTATACTGGAAAATAACGCAGTCACCATGTTTTGCGTTCTCGTCATGCTCTGTAAAGCCTTTAAAAACACAAGCAAGTGGTTAAACTGTAAGACATGCTTTAAGCAGCTCATTGTTGGCAGCTTACTAATATCATTTCTTATCATTATCATCATTTATACTTACACAGTCACAGTATTTCAGTTCTATTCCATGGATAACAGAAACCTTGAAATTTTCAGCCAGTACATAATTGTGTAATTTTCAACAGTAATTACTATGATAGTGATTCTAAAGGATCATTTGCATTGCAGTTTGCGCCTGCCTTCACACTCATTCATCTATTTAGCTACAAATGAATTAGAAGTGAAGAGAATGGGCTGGATTCTATACAGGGTCAGCAAAAGGTGCTGGCAGGGCTGGATTTTCCCTGTCCTGCCTTGGGGAACGGGTAGGGGTAAGCTGGGGAAAGAAGGAACCATGCAGAAAAACCAAAGGAAGCCTCTTGCTAGTCCAGCAGCACTGCATTGGTGGGAGCAAAAAGCCCCAGGAAGAAATTCGGTTTCCTTGTCCACCGACTCTCAGCATCAGCTTCTCAAGGCTTTCAGGCCGTTGCTGGGGTATTTACACTGTCATGGACTAGCTTGCATAAAAAAGGCAGTGCTTTCTTCCCCACCATCAGTCTGTCATCCTTAAATTAAACGTTTTGGAGGGATAAAAGATAAAAAGATAAAAAATTGCCCTCTTTCTTCCTTTAATATTTAACAGTAGTTTTGCATATCTGATGCATACCTGGTGATTGATTGTACAGAAAACAGATTTTGTGTGGTACATGAGATCATTTATCTCAATAATCTTTGGTGCCTTATATACTTTTTGTGAAATAAGATAAAAAAAAATAAAAAAAGTAGAAAGTAACTTCGTTAGGCAAAAACTTCCAGGAAGATTTTATTTGAAGATCATGGACAGCCAAGAATAAAATAAAGGGTGTAAAGGTGGTCAGATATTAGGAAAAGGATCTTCTGTAAACAGTGTGGTAGGGAAAACCTATAAACTAATTTATAAAGGTTTTCTTTACAATAAATATCCTGCATTTTGAGAAAGAGAGATACTATAGAAAACAATGATAATAGAGACAATGAGATTCATCCAGAAAAAAATTAGGGGAAAATAATGAATACAGAAATTGCAATAGTCCATTCCAGAATTTAGTAAACTTTGGTAAGCGGTAATGGCTTGGTTCAGACTTAATGCAGCCCAATCAGACTCCTTGCTCCAGTACTGTTGCTCTTTCCCCTGCCTCCCTGCTAGAGACCTGACTGCTATTCCAGCCTGCCTCACAGTACACAACTGATGGCAAAGCTGTACTGTATCACCAACTCATTTGTTGTTAGTTGCTGATAACTGCACTTCCTGAAAGGATGCAAGCCAGCAGTTATCAATGTGGTGGAACAGGCCTGCTCTGGACTGCAGGCCCTGTTCCACCCTGCCCGCCAAGGTTTTTGCAACACCTGGAGAGGCCTTTCCCTCTCTCCAGTAACTCACCACCTCCACCGGACCTTTGTACGGAATTGCTCACTGGAAGGGTCAGGACTCCCAACTTCCCTTCCAAGTTCTAAGGCCTTGCCTCTGTGTCTCCCACTGCCCAGTACCTGGTCAACATGGGGACAGTTCACTGCCTTGTGTGCCCTTGGAGGAATAGCCACTTGCCAACTGCCTGCCTTCCCCCAGGCACTCCCTTTTAAAATAGAGTGTCCAAGACAGTGGAGGACTATGTGGTACAGAGAACTACTACCAGCATCAAAAGTTAGAAAGCGTTTATTGAAAAGAAAATGTCTACAAGCATTCTTTTAACACAGCAGCAGATTGAGCAAGGGATTCAAAAGAAATGGGTAAAATGCAATTTTTTTTTCTTTCCCTCTCTATATATATGCCCTATCCGATGTTAAAATAGAGGACAGACTCCTTTTGCTTAGGAAGTTGCCGATCTCTACACAGTTAGCATTACTTGCAGCTTTCTCTAGCTCTTTAAGCCAGCACATGGCTGCCTCCTCAGTTGAGAGTTCTGTCTGCTCTCATGGAGTCAGCACCCAAAGAAACTGCCTCCTTGTTGCAAGGAGTTTTTATCATCTCATTTTCCTCTCCCACTGACCCAGTCAGGCCAGGTCAAGAAAGCTTTTCCTGACATCTCCAGAAATTTCCTTCCTGAAGGCATTCTAGTATAAAGTCCTTCAAACCTCCATTCTCTGCTTGGAGAAAGAAGACAGTGTGACCCACCCATTATTCCTCCTGCTAGATCTATTAGCATTTGTATGAAGGTAGGGTGAAGTAAGTCTGGGAAGCAACTGAATGGACTTCTTTCCCTTCCTGTTCTCTACCGGGGGCGGATTATAACTCAGAGGGAAGGTTTTGCTCATTTCAAACCTCTATTTTAAAAAATGCATTTCTTCATAATCACATTAACCCTTTCTTCACCAAAACCCAGGAAATTAAAGCACTGCCAGTTTCAGTATACTACTCCAAATGCACCAAATGCAACCAAATACACTCACCCAAGTGTTCCCATCTCTGCACTATATGTGGCATTTGGGGAAGATACAGTATCCCCACTGAGCTACTCACATTGTAATTTTTCACTCTTATGTCCCAGCAGATTTTTGACTTTCCACAGGTACTACCTGCCAACTATTTAGCATTCACACACAGAACCCAAAATTCCCTGGAAGAGTGTGTCCATCCCAGTAGAGTTTCCACTCACACAATAAACACATTAAATTAACTTTCCTTAACAGAGACTGCAAGTACCAGGCAGTTACAGCTATGAATGCTAACTTAGGTTGGGGTGCTTTGGGGAAACACATGGGTTGGGTGTTTCCTTTCAGTATAGCCCCCTAGTCCACTGCGGCAGTGTAATGTGAATAGGGTGTTTATGTAAACCACTGTTTCTGAAGCAGAGGAAATCACAATATTCAGGCCTTCATTGGTGTTGCTTTTTCCTCTGAGGAAAATATGGAAACTGCTGTGTCCTTAAGAGAGCAGGTGAAGGCAGAGAGAGGAGTCTGTTGCAAGCCAGGTATGGGGAGAGGCTTCACACTTAGGAATAGGCTGAAGGTGGGAGTGGGTTTTGTTTTTTTGAGCTGCTCTTGCCAGGTAGTTCTGTAGGTGGGGTGAGTGCAGACGGTCAGTGGAAAATAAACCATGATTAAACCAGGATACTATGTTCATATGTAACATGTAAGACTCTGTGATAAATAATGCAGCTTCATGTCCTGGGTTCAAATCCTTGGTTTGAGGTACCCAAACTAATCATAGGACCCATGTTGGCATGTGTACAACAGATAGCTTAATTAAAGGAGCTGCGGTGGCTCAAGTGGTTAAGACGCTGAACTGCAGGCTGTGGAAGGTCAGTAGTTCAGCAGTTCAAGACCCAAGTGTGCCGCATGACGGAGTGAGCTCCCGTCTCTAGTTCCAGCTCCTGCCAACCTAGCAGTTCGAAAGCAAGAAATTGCAAGTAGATAAATAGGTACCACTACAGTGGGAAGGTAACAGCGTTCCATGTGCCTTGGTGTTTAGTCATGCCGGCCACATGACCACGGAAATTTCTCCGGACAGCGCTGGCTCTTCGGCTTTGAAACAGAGATGAGCACCGCAACCCTAGAGTCGGATTCGACTGGCTTTCGAGCAAGGGAACCTTTACCTTCACTTTTTAGCTTAAGTAAGCCATAGTTTTACATAGTGTCTGAACTGACCATCTTCAAGCATATCAGTGGAATTCCTGGAATATTAAATGCTTGCAGAAGGAACTGGGCTGGCATAATATACATGCCTATTTCCTTACCATTTGTTAGCCTGTCAAAGAGGAAGATATCAAAATTCCAGTTTCCAACTTTCTCTAGCATACACTGAAATAGAAACAAGAGAGTATTTTATTCTGTTAATGCACATCATTTTCATTACTGTGGATTAGAATCATACTTGGTTTTTCTACATACTTTATTTTATTTATTTATTTATTATATTTATATCCCAACCTCCCAGTCATGTGAAATAGTACTGGAAAGAAAGTAAAGATGACCAGAATCATGTCTGTAATCACAGCAGTCTTTCTGTTTCACGGGTAGAACAAAATGTTGTGATCATGCAGGTTAAGAATATAAGAGAACGTCAGAGAACTCATGTTGGATCAGGCCTATGGCCCATCCAGCCCAACAGTCTGTGTGTCACAGTGGCCAAAAAGCAGGTGCTATCAGGAGGTTCACCAGCAGGGCCAGGCTGCAGAAGCCCTCCCACTGCTGCCCCCCAAGCACCAAGAATACAGAGCATCACTGCCCCAGACACAGTGTTTCAATTGCAATTGATTGACAATTACCCTGTTTCCCCGAAAATAAGACCTACCCCCAAAATAAGCCCTAGCAGGATTTCTATGCATTTGTGGTTTAAGCCCTAGTGTGTCTTCTTGAGAAAAAATAAATATAAGACAGTGTCTTATTTTCGGGAAAACACGGTATTCTACAAAGTGTATCTGTCTCTAGAAATGTTCGATGACTAATGAAAAGCAGAAAAAAACTGTTCCCCAAGTTTCAGGAATCCCACAGAAACCTTCAGGTTCTGGACTTCTGCTCTAAACCTGAGTGATCCACATGCAGAAACATGCTACCACATAGAGATAAGTTGAGTGGCAGAAGAAGTGTATTCTGCTACATAGAGAAACAATGACTTGGTTTGAGTTATGCACCCCCATGCAAAACAATGGCACATATCTGTGTATGAGCCTTGTCTGTGCCAGTTTTCTTCCGCATGGTAATATTGGAGGGGGAGGGGTGAAAGCAGTGGCCTTGGACCATATTCTAAGTCATTTTCTGAACAGGTATTTCTTTCCTCCTCAAAAGAGTCCAAAATATTTTTTTAAAGTGTACTGTATTTATCATTATCCAGAAATATCCATTCAGTAACTCAAGAGCCACCCAGCTGCTAAGTTGCTAACAAGCTAAACTGCAGGGAGAACATTTACTACCAAGTATTTATCACAGAGACTGAAGAAAGCACTCCCGGCTTATCTAGTTTTAGGACAACTAAGGAGGTTCCACATAGCATTTTGTCTGATGTTATACCGAGGCATCTTTGAAGTCATTCTGTTCAGCTTCATTATCTACCACCATTTGCAAAACAAGAAATATTTGTTTTGCCTTTGAAGTGAGCGCTATTTTATCTCTCTATCCAAATTATTTCCCACAGTGCCAAAGAATGTAGCATTATTTCCTTTAAGCACCAAGATTTAGTACAAGTCACAGTGCAGTCCTGTGCAGAGTCATTCTAGCCGAAGCTCCTGGATTTCAGGTTTGCACTGTTAGTTAACTGCAGACCTTATCATACACTTTTTTTTTTCAGAGAAGAGTAATAAGGCAGTTTGAATCTGGAATTTCACACACAAACCTTAGCTTGTCCATTATAATCATCATCCAAAATATTTGAAGAACTTGGAAGAGTGATACCACGGAAGAAACGGGAAGATCTCAAGTACCGCTGGAAACTCAGTAACCTTCGGATATTCCTTGCAGACACAGAAACTTCAATTTCAGAATTTGCTGGGAAAGAAAAATGTTTTAAAAACCACCTTAATACCTAATAAATATGTAACATCTCATTAAAAGCAATATCACTGAGTGATAAGCAGTAACAGTAACAATCATTTAGGGAACTCTGTTCTGCATACATTGCATGGGATCCAGCAGAGCCTCTGGGAACAGGATTTCAAGGGGCATTTCAGGTTACCACAAGTGAGGGAGTTGAGAAAGTCATGCCCTAAGGGCAGAAGTCTTTGCACCACAGAAATACTGAGCTGGATCCAACAAATTAGTCCGACAATTTTTTTAAAAACAGGTATGATAGTTAAACATTGTGACATGTTTAAATTCCAAACAGCTACTGTCATTGCAATTGGAAAAAATTATTACGATCTATTTTCTGAATAATCAGATGATACAACACAACACAACTGAGATTATATCATTATTGGATAAACTTAGAAAACTCCCTATAAAGATCTATTTCAAAACTCTACAGTATTGAATTGATTCTGTGGTGTATTGGTTATGCTTAAAATACAAAACAATGGCAAATAAATCTTCAGGAAGGGGGGGGGGGGGATGTCACACACAAAGAGCTAGGAAGCTCCTGAATGCCACTGCAGAAATGATTTAATCCAGGTACTGAAACGAATTTTGGGAGTGACCCCTCTGGCATCCCTTTCATCAAGGTTTACAGCCAAATATTATGACAAACCCAGTGTGTATGTGTGTACACAATAGTGTGCAATTCATACACAAATAGGAATGGGGTGCAGGAGGGAATGTGTAATTCCCAAACCTGTTCTCAGTTCCTTAACCTGAGTAATATCAGAGGTCATTTCGGGGGGGATCGCGGGGGATTGCAGTTCCCCCGGGTGAGGTATGGGGGGCGGGGCACATGATGAAGCCCCGCCCCCTGCTTCCGGCCGCTCCACTTCCGGCCCTCATTCAGCCAGGAGGAGGCAGGAGAAGAGGGAGGGTAAGTTGCTTCCTCCCTGCCTCTCCCCAACCCTGCCTGCCTGGGGCCAGGGAGGGCCTTCGCGGGGCTTCCTTGCACTCCCGCCGGCCGGGACCGTTGGGGGCAGGGTGTGTGGCCTTATGACACACTTCCGGTGATGTCAGGGGGTGTGGCCTTATGACACACTTCCAGTGATATCAGGGGGTTTGGCATATGCTAATGAGTTCCCCTAGCTCTTTTTCTACAAAACGACCCCTGAGCAATATTATACCCTGCAATGAGTCCAAGTTACGGAAAATACTCAATCCCAAAGTGTATTTCAGTTCCCCTTGCCCATGTGTTTCTGCCTTGTTCTCATGAGCACTCTGACCACTGCTGCTTACCCATGGTCAAACCAGCAACAGAAGACATTCCTATTATTCACAGAATTCCACTTCAGGTAGACAAGAATTCTGTTTCACCTTTCATTTGCAGCTGCCTAAGACCCTCTTATGTTAATTCTTTGGGACAAGAGCAACTACAGCTGCAGTTCCTTTTGCCACTCAGATAATGTGAGATTTGGGCCAAGCAACAACCAACATTGTCTCACACAGGCATCTTGCAGCAGTGGAAAGAGGCACACTGCAAACGTAATAAGAGGAGGCCTAAGGTATTACTTTTGTAACTCCTGTGAATTGTACTCTCAGCTTTTCTAGATGAAATATCAAAACCTCATTTCATCTCCAAGGCACAAGCTGCTACATCACAACACTACACTAACATTTTTAAATGTGAATATCTACATTCTTGAGTCATTAACATATCACAGACATCTACAGTGTAAAAATCTGAAAAGCAAAGCATTCTGCATTATTATTCCTGGAGAAAGATGACAATTTTATTACTGAAATCTAGCACTTACTGAGCTTACATTTGAATACTGTTTACTTTTAGTTAACCAAATAATTATGATGCTCCAGGTAAAATATTTTAAAAGATCACTCCAATGAAGCATTCATTGCCAGGAAGACACCCATCTTTACCAGATCATGATTTATCCCTTCCCTAAGCTCTCCTTTTAAAGTATTGACATGTCTAGAAGATGTAGTGTTTCACCTCTATTTAAAGATGCCATAATCCTGAAGAGAGAACAAAGGCAGATCAACAGCTTTTTTTTTCTTGAGAATGTAGGATTTGAAATATTCTCTTGCTTTCATTCTAGAACAAGTTTTTAAAAACTATATACAGAAGAGAAAAGGAATGAGCAGGTACCCAGACTAACAGCATAAAAGGGTGTTTTGGCTCATAATTTCACGGTGTACACCCGAGAAAGTTGGGCTTGTACAAATGGGTTTCCAACCGCTGTTTTGATATAAAGGAAGGGTTTTTTCCAGACTTTGAAAGCAGTAGCAAGAGCACATCAAAGCAACGTCAGAAAAGGAACACGGTCTTTTACCCCGAAAAATAAGGGACAATCTTTAGACAGGAGAGCAAGTTTACCTCAAATGTAACAAGGACTGGATTTAATGTAATCAAACAGAGTGTTTTAAAAGCAGGGTTGCCAAGTCCCCCCCCCCAACCAACAGTGGGGGGTGGCAGGGTAGGGTTGTCAGATCCACGCAGGCAAATTCCTGGATTTGGGGATGGAGCCAGAGGAAGGCAGTGACCTCAGTGTGGTACAATGCCATAGAGTCCATCCTCCAAAACATCCACTTTCTCCAGGGGAACTGATCTATGTTGTCTGCAGATGAGGTATAATTCTAGGGGATCTCCAGGTCCCACCAGGAGTCTGGAAACCCTATTTAAAAGGTAAAATTCACACATTCTTATAATTTCTATGCTGTACCTCAGCTGATATTTCAGAGATTATAAGTAGATAATTCATTACTTTTGTTAATTTTGTTCACACGGAGTTTTGCTTTCCGAACAGCCAGTATTGTTGACATGATTAGAAACCCTTCTAATGATACGCAGGAGTAGAAAGAGTGATGTAACTATCACAACAGGAATAGACTTGTTTACAGATGGGCAGAACACAGGCAGCGCCAGAGGAAGTGCAACCATATATAAAGCCAAGTGCCCTTGGCCACAACCCCAACAGTATTATACAAAAGCTTTTTTAAATCTCCCAGAAGTGACACGTTTATCCAATCCATATTTCCTTTTTGCCAAAAACAAAAATAATCAGATTATTACTAAATATAACACATCGTTTTCAGTTCCTGTGATCTCCTGCCAGAAACCAGAATGAAGTTCTTGTTTAACCAAAAATACAATGAATTCCAATTATTCCTGAAAAATAGCTATATAAGACGCATTGACTACAACTGAAACAATATCCATTTTATGTAACTATATTTTTGCCCCTTTGTAGGGTTGCCAGCCCCCAGGGTCCAGGTGGGGTTTCCCCTGCTTCTGGGGTCTTCAATCCACCCCTGGTCAGCTGGCCAGCAGAGGAAGCCCACTCCTAAGCCCCACCCCCAGAGCAACAACCCACCTGGCCATCCCTCTCCCTCCCCTCCTGCCTGATTTAAAGGGCTTCAGCTGATCAGCAGAGACTATGCGGCCCTCCGACCAGCTGGAGGACCCTTTAAATCTAGCAGGAGGGAGGGAGAGGGGCGGACATGGGCTGCATGCTTGGCTTGCAAAAAAGACCTTTAAAAGGTCTTTTTGTCAGTAGGGGTGCCACGGCACATTTCCCCCAGTCCCGCACGTCATGGCTCCCACCCCACTTGCAAAAAGAGCCTTTAAAGGGTCTTTTTGCGAGCTGAGCGTGTGACCCACAACCACCCCCTCCCTCCTAGATTTAAAGGGTCCTCCAGCTGGTCAGCAGGCCACATGGTCCCTGTTGATCAGCTGAAGCCCTTTAAATTGGGCAGGAGAAGAGGGAGAGGGGTAGCTGGGCGAGGCTTGGGGGCAGTGCTTGGGGCATCCCTACCCACCTTCAGAATGCCCCCCAATTCCCCCCCGCCAGAGCAACGAGGGGACCTGGCAACCCTACCCCATTGGGAACAAAATATCTTTCAACAAATACAGTCAAATCCTGACATAAAAAGCCTAGTGTTCAGATAATCAGGAAATATGTATAATGATAGTACCAACCTAAGTACCAGTTTTCAGTTAACTATCTCCCTGACAGCTATGCCATAATCAGTATTTAATACATTTATATTTTCAGGATATGGCCTAAACACTAGAATATCCTCCAAAGATAGTTAGCAACAAGAAAGGGGACCCGCGAAAATCGCGGGGGGGAGCGGGGGGGCTCCACACAGAGCAGGGGAGGAGGAGGAAGCATGTAAACTTCCCCCCCATCCCGTCGGTTCCCCTGTCTCCTCCTCCCCCCCTCAACTACCACCCCCCAGCTCGCTGCCCCCCGTCTCT